TTTTTATACAGTAGAGTTTAATTAGCATTTAAGGATGGTGCAGGGAGCTGTGTTTACTTAGACTTATTTAGACATGTTTCTGAGCCTAAGCAGGGCTAACCAAACTAGAATCAGGATTGTTTTAAATGCTGATGGTCTCCAATACTGACTTTTGTCTTGTCCTCAGAGATCTATACATATATTATTTATTTATTTATTTATTGGTTGTGTTAAATTTCTTCATTTTCTGTTAAGGAGCATTATTCTACAACTATCTGTTTTTTAAAGACAGATGAACCTCCACCTAGCTTCTGAGAGATTCAGCCCTTTTAAAAATGCTCTTTTATATTATCCAGTCCTATTTAATTCTTGCCAATTAATCTAATTAGTTACAAAATGCTCTACCAGCTGCTTCCTATCCATGCCATTTACCTTTAAAGCCTTTTAATGACCKAGTCCCTGCTTTTTAGCTGCTGATTGCATCTGTATTTTTTCCAAAGTATGTACAACTTCTTAGTATCAAGTTTTAATATGTTTATTATGAGTTTTACAAGCCATTTGTGTGATTTTTGATTTGTTTACATATTACACAATGTCATTTTTTTTTTAATTTCATGTTGTAATTGCTTCTAACTTGAGTGTGCTCAACACCAACTTAAAATCTAATAATTTTTGGGGAAAATTTTAGTTTTAGGTCATTTTAAATTAGATACATTGTGACCCTTTCTTTAGCAGGTTGACTCAATTTCCCGACATTTAAAAAGATAATCTGATTCAATGTTTTAATCAAAGTGAATTACAGGAGAAGTTCAGCTGTACAGCTCCTCTCTTGTTCAAAGGGTTTGTGAGTTAAACCACTGGATGGATTTTACTGAAACTTTAAGGAGATACGTAATGGATGTACTTCCACAACTTAGTAATATTTGGAGTCTGCTACAGATGGCTGGCACTGCTAACTGACCTCAGGAACTACCAAAAAGGCTACAATTTTGTCAACTTTACAAATACTGACCTAAAACTTGATGTGGTAGTACTTGAGAGTAATCATAAATCATACACTTGAGTTCTAATCCTTCGTTTCAAGCCATCAGATTGTAGCTCAGTTTCTGTAAGACTGGGCTAAAATGTGATGTGGTAGCTGAGAGTCATTCACAACACGTACTCTGAGCATGACATCTTACATTTCAAAATAAGAGTTAGCTCAGTGTTATTTATAAAGTTTTTATAAACTCATATTAAGACTTTAATTCCCTTTATATGAAAATGTTGAGTGGTGGCAGTGGTTTGTTTTTGATTAATGTTGCATTTAATGACAAATTGCATGAGTAAATGTCAATAATAATTACAATGTACTTGTAGGGTTTTAAAACTACTCCTTAGACGTTGTGATACATTTTTAGAATGCAGTTTTGTGTTATTGTTGAAAACATAAGAACAGTTGCAACCAAAAACAATTACTCCTGCATTTAAGCTTGCAGGTGCATTAGACCTTAAATAAGTTTACCGAAAACTTTTTTTTTATTCTTAAATAAATTTTGTTAGTCGTTTCATGTCTTATTGGGGGAAAAAAGTTTGTCAATTTAATTCAGGGGTGCCCAAACATTTTCCCCGAGGGGGCCAAAATGAAAATCTATCCAGGGCTGCGGGCCAAATGCAGTAATATAATACATGAAATACAAATACTTTTTAAAGAAAAGTCGCTTATTTTGAACGATTAAGCTGTGCAATGGCCCTCTTTTGTTTTAGTTTGTGCACTTGGAGAAAGTCTGGCATACACTCAAGTAGCAAAGGCTCATGGGACATTTCATAAATTGATAAAATATGAGTTTTTGTGACTTTATAAAGTGTGCAAATCTACATGTGGGGTTAAATCTGATCTAAATATTTCTTGTCATTTCATGTTTCCTGTTTAATCCTAATAAATCAAAGATATGCCAGCACCTTGAATGAAAACTACCTTCACTGCAGCCCTTTTATATAGTCATTTGAKCAATGGAAATACTGTTTCTACCTATAGGATAACAGGTTACAACCTTGTAACTTTGGCAACTGTTGGTGGGCCAAATCAAATGGCTTGGCGGGCCAAATTTGGCCCGCGGGCCCCACTTTGGGCTCCTCTGATTTAATTGCATCTTTATGATTAAAATCAGCAGCACTCCTGAGCCATCTCACTTCCTGTTATTACATGTAATATTTGAGCCAGCTGCTACCAGTTAGCTTAATTGTTCTTTTTTGTCATATTAATAGTCAGTGAGTCAACTAACTTCTTGTAGCTA